CGGCCGGGCGGAGCGAGGGGCAGGGGACGCCGCTCGGGCCTGCCGCCTAGTCTGGGATGCGGCTGGTCCCCAGGCGGAGCCTGGCGCCGAGCTGTCACCCCAGGTACGGGCCGGGGACGGTCAGACCTTCCCAACAGCCTCTCCTGCGCGGCCAGCCCTTCCTTTTCTCTCCAGGGGTCGCATCCAGGCTTCGTCATTCCTCTTGGAAAAATGGGTGCAGCGCTGGTTTTCTCCGCGACGTCCTTCTCGCTCAGATGCGTGGGCCGGTTTTGTTCCCTGAGGAGCTGCAAAAACTCCTCTCTCTGCCGTTCCTACGAGGAGGAGCAGCTCAAGGTCGTAGCCTGGGAACTGCCTCCACGGCCGCCGCTCGCCGCCCTTGGGCTTGCGCTTCCCTGTTTGCGCCCAAGGAGCGAGACTGCTGCTGCGCTGCGCCGGACCTCCCGAGGGCACCGCGGCCTCCCCAGCCAAACCTTCCCCCCTGCCTTTCTGTTGTCTGGTCCTTGGGATTTGGGACGCTGCTCCAAGGAAATGCCCTGATAGAGCAGGTCAGGTTGGACTCAGGATTTCAGATCTCTCAGTCTCACAAGCAGATTCTTGTATCTGCTCAACCTTGAATTTCTTACTCCTGGACCTTCAACGCGCTGAATTGTTTTCAGGGTAGGTGATCTGGTCACACAGGCCATGGCGGTCTCTTGATCTGCTTTGTGTTTTTCCCCAGGTTTGTCAGTGAAGGCACCAATGGAAATGGGGAGCAGCAGCACTGAGAAGTTCTATAGGATCCCCAAAGGGAAGGGACCGCACTCGGTTGGATGTACAGACCTGATGACAGAAAATGCAGTTGAGGTAAAGTTCTTGGTTCTTCCTCCTTTGGATTTAAGCCACAATGTTAGTGAAACAACTCGGTATAGTTTCACAGATGAATCAAACAGAAGGCCTTGCCTGTGTGCAGGGATGCTCCGTGGCTGACGCTCGCAGCTGAGCTTTCTGTCCTGTCCATCCCAATGTAGCATGTGTACTGGGCACAGTTCAGGAAATATCAGGTGCCTCCAGGAATTGGTTCAGTTTGCCAGATGGATGTAACCTGCAAGTCTTCCCCTCCTCCTTCCTCTTAATATCCTTACCTTCCTGATTCCCCTACGCAAGGTACTGCAGAGCGGCTGTGTCCTCCTGGGAGCCACGGGGTTCCTCCTGCCCACCCCACCGCTCCCTTCTGCCCTGGGCTCCTGGGGAGACTCCGCACGCAGTCTCCGTGACTGTAGCTGTTCTCATCACAAAGATCCCAACGGGATTTGGTGGGGTCGGGTGATGAGGGTATGTAATGTTTCAGCTGCAGGGTAAAGCATGAGATGTCTCCTCGGTATTTTATCTATCTGAAAAAAACAGGATGTCAGTTCTGCAAGTGGTTAGTACAGAGAGAAGCCACGATAAGAAGATGGGGACAGTAAATAGCCAGCTAATGAGCTCACTTATGGGTTTCCCTTTCAAATCCTCTTGCTTTTTAACTTTGCTATGAGAATACGCCTGCATTTACACTGTGGTTTTACTGCTCAGACTAGCCAGGTATAGTGGAACTTGTGATCAGTCTGCAGTGGTTATTCCTATGTTTTCCTTTACTGAGCTTACTTTGTATTAGCATAAAGAAGCGATTAGCTTCTCTTTGCAATCAGCCTGTGTTTTTTTCTTAGATAAGCAATCTGTATAATTACAGTTCTCTCAGGCACAAATAATGAACCTCTTTCCCCTTCTGGTAAGCTGTTAGTTACCTGGGGAAGTTCACTGAGACTATTCTGGGGTCAAATTAATATCATTGCCAGTATAGATGAAGGTTTGATCGTTTCTTCCTTAATGGCCTTTGTGTCAAAGGTTGATTTAAGTTTGATCAGTAAATAGAAACAAGCTTCATTAAACAAGCTTTTGGTACACACTGTGTATGAAACTGATAAATTAGTGTTGAAGAAACCGGCCTTTATTCCAAAGCTCGTGTTCTTTTTGGCCCTAGACTTAAGTTGTTAAAACAAAAGTACAGTTGGAGCAGGACAGTGCATTTGAGTAGCGTGTCGCAAATTCCCTTGCAAACCAGGAAGTAAGAAGGCAAATTACGCACAGTTCATCCGCAGGGGCACCTGCTTTAAGGTGTGCCATTGGTACATTGCTGCTGTCTGCGTAGAAAAATACTGGCAAGGGGGGCCCGGAGGCTCCACGTGAATGTGGAAAGCTTGGGGGGTTGCCTGGAAGGCCTGGAGTGCAGAGAGTAAGAGAAGATTCAAACCGGCGGTTAGAAATGGAGGCAGATAAAACACAGGTTAACAAAATTGCGTTTAGAAAGATGGACCACTACAGACTTGTAAACACCTTGATGAGGAGGGAGAACAACATATTGTACTCCTTTGCTGTGCAGCTGCCCAAGAGCTTTACTGACAGCCTTTTGCTCAGGTTAGCCAGGAACACTTATAGCCACGTTGAGACCGTGCCCCATGCTCCACCCGCACCTCCTCTACTGGACCACACTTCCAGAAACAAGTCTCAGGGTAAAATTTTTCTTGCTAACCCAATGGAAAAATATACTTCTAGGAGGGTCCTGTTTTCCCCCCAGTTTAGCAAGCTGAATTGGGTCAGTAACAGATCCATGAGACTCACTGGTGCAAAGAAAGCAATGGCAGCTCCCAGCTGGAAGGGCGTAGGGGACACAGTCACCCCTGTTAAACTGATCAAACTGTATCATTGTACCATTCCCCAAAGGGAGGCCTAGTGAGGAAGACAGAAGAAAAGATCCAGCAGGGTGCAGAAATAAATAGAGCAAATAGGTAGTGAGTGTTCGTAATGATTAACTTAATTAAATGGAGCATTTTGAATTAGCCATAGGCTAACCTAGAGAAGGTGATGGGTGTCTCTACCTGGATGCCAACTGGCATGCTACTTTAAATTCATTGCAGGGACAAAAAGATAGTGGCATAGGATTGGCATCAAAGCCTGTATAGGATCCTAATTTTTTCATGAGATTCTCTTAATTCTCTTGAGCTGTCACTCTCGCATCTGAAACCCTTGACATAAATGTTTTTATCTTCCTTATTCTCTGCCATATATAAATAAATATCAGTCTTCCCTCTTTTTTTTTCTGCTAATCCCAGGGAAGCTTCTTGCGCCTGTATTATCCATCATGCGATGCCACAGATAACGAAGAGGCACCGTGGATTCCAGATAAAGAGTACTACCAGGGACTCTCTGACTTCCTTAATATGTACCGAGTTGTAGGAGAAAGGCTTTTCCAGTACTATGTTGGTAAGACTGGTTTTGGTTTTATTCCTTGACTAGTGGAAGGGCATGAGCTCTATATGCAGGTCATTGCCTCGCTGCTCCGTGAGCAGTGTGTTGTTGCTGCAGGACTCAAAAATAGTTTCTCTAGAGGAAGTGTGTGTATTTGGGAAGGGTTTGTGTAGCGATGCTCAATGCTGAATGAGACCCAGTTCTCAGGCAGATCTGCGGTCCCTGGCTGCTATGAATAGGAGTGTCTGGGCCATTTGCTGTAGCAAGCTGCACCTATGTGTCGGGATTTAAATCCCACAAGGAAACGTGCAAATATACAAAGGTCAGATAGATACTGAGGTCTGAATACCAGCAAGACTTGGATGCGTGACTGTTCTTGAAAATCTGTTCTTGTAGGGTTTAAGAGGCCTTGTGCTAGGCTGTGGAGGGGAAGAGGAGAAGGAAAGTATCTTCTGCCAAGTAGAAAATATTATTTTCAGAATCAGATCCTTATTTGTCTTCTGCATTTTAAGGATGAGGTTTGGTACCTTATCTTCAGATGACTGCTCTGAAATCAGTGGTCACCAAGCTCTTGGGATCTCTCCCACAGGCACAAATGCTTTCTCTCATTTCAGTAGTAATGACATATGCTTCGATTTTTATCTAGGTTCAGTGACCTGTCCTGCAAAGTCAAATGCTGCTTTTAAGCTGGGAGAAAAATACCCACTCCTCGTTTTTTCCCATGGACTCGGAGCTTTTCGGTAATTCTGCAGTTTGTTGACGAACTATTTTTGTCGTCTATGGAGACAGCAGTCTCTAAGAATGGTTCTGAACAGTTTTTCAGTAGGGGGGTGAGATTGCTGTGGCGTTGAAACAGATTTGAAGAACAGGCTGCTGTGTATCAGTATGCCTCCCCTAAAATCAATAGCAGTAAATAAAAGCAGGGTTGGTTTGTGTTTTCCCTTTGTATTTTAGGGGTGAAGGTATTTACCAATCCATAAGCATGTTGTGAAGATTAGCTAATTGATTTTTGGACAGCTCTTTGAAGATGCAAAGTGTCATACATTTTTAAAAATCATTGGCATCTTTCCTTCTGAATAGATAGTATAACAGTAACAAGGTTTTGTGAACAGGCTTTGGTGTCTGGCATGCAAAATCCTGCTCTACTGGCTAGCAAATTCAAACAGAAGAAATACTGAGTGGGGGCTAGCGCATACGTAGTGTGGTCAACCTGTAAAGAGCAGGGTAATTGAAATAATTATGTATGCACGTGTCTCACCAGAGTGTGGTTTTGATTGCAGGACAATCTATTCTGCTATTTGCATAGAGATGGCTTCCCAGGGCTTTATAGTGGCTGCTGTGGAGCACAGGTGCGTATACTGCATGTTTTTGAGTTCTGATGGAAGAAACTTTCTCACATTGAATAGAATGTTATTTATTGTAAAGAGGAACTTGCAATTTTTTTAAAAAGAAAGACTACCATATCTTCTTCAGCCCTGCCCACACCGCCTGTTTCTCTAGCTCAACTTTTATCTAAGCAAAGGGAATTTGCTTAGATAAGCCCTTGAATGAAAAGTCCCAGGGTAGATATCATTCATTATTCTTCAGGCATGCTATTTTTCTCTCTCTTACTGTTAGGACCTGGAGAATATAAAGGAGGTGGGAGTTTTGGTGGGGTTTTTGCATTATTTAGAGAGTCTGTCTACGCTCAGTTGTGATTGCAGCAGCAGTGGTTGGTAGCTGGATCTCTTGAGATAAGTGAAATCTAAAACTTCTGCTGACTTCATCTCAAACCAAACAGAATACATCCCCAGAAATAACCTTTTGTTGATATTACAGAGATGAATCTGCTTCAGCAACGTATTATTGTAAAAAAAAGTCCGTTTCTGAACCCCAGGAAGAGTCTACATCAAACACGGAGAAGGAGTGGATCTACTACAGGAAACTGAAAACCGGAGAGGAAGAGCGCTGTTTGCGCCATAAGCAGGTACTCGTCCTAGGTCTGCTCTAGGAAGTGAGGCAGGAGTGGTGTGTTTGGGACTCACTAGCAGGCCCTTTCCCTTTGGCCATGTCTGCAGTCTTGAGCCATGACCCGGGGGATATATAAAAATGCATCAAGTCCGATGTTCCTGAAGATGGGAAAGCCGACAACAGCTTTCTTCAGAGCATAAACTACTTCCTTAACAAAGCTTTCTCATGAAGCTGCACTGTTAGCTCAGCTGTTTCTCCTGTGGTTCCACTCTACTTTCTGTTTCTTCTCTGTGTCTTCACACTTTTGCTGCCCCACCCAGTCTTTAAGTGACACAGAGTTGAATACAAATGTTTGTGTGGCCTTAGGCTTGCTTCAGGTTTTGTCTGCTGTTGGATAGCAAGATGAATCATGGCTGCTCTAAGGGGAGTGTTTGCTTCATCATCTTCAACACAATTTAATGTGGTTTAT